ACTTGGTGATTTTACTATTAATAAAATTCCAGACATTTGCACAATTCCCGGTTGATAAACGATCCTGTCCAGTCATACATCTTGAGGTTATTCGTTTCATTATTTTATTGTTTATCAGTTTTATCTATTATTGATTCCTTTGTAAAGTCTAATGAGAACACGATACTAAATTACGCATAGGTAAAATTATTCTTTATTCACCCCCGAATATCATCAATTAATATCGGCGAGTGGGTATGTGGATTTGAGGACGTTCTGTAAACATGGAACTCTTTCTCGCGAGGATATGAGTCTTTTTTAAAAACCAATAAGTGCGTTATCATTATTATACATTTTGTAACGTTATCACTCATACCTTAAATTATTAACGACGTGTGGGTGTGTGGATTTGGAAGTTGACTTCGAACATGGATTCTTCTTCTAATGAGGATATAAGAGACGATCCTCTCCTTCTCTCTCGGTTAGAGTGCTTATATATCTTCTCGTCATCCGGAGATTTCACATGTGTATATCCTAAGTACATCCGGGTCGACCACATGTTTACATGTTGGGTGCAACCACTGACTTCCAAGGAGAGTACGAGTCTGCACCTGGTGGCTATACGACACCTTCCCATTCAACCTGCTAATGCAACCGACTAAATCACTTAGGCAAAATTATTGTATATTCGCCTCTGGATTTCGTCAATTGATAAGGGTGTGTGAATCCTTCTTCTCACGAGGATATAAGAAACATGCGTCTTCCTCCCTCTCGGTTATCCTAAGCGCAGCCAGGTCGACCGCCTGTTTACATGGCGGGTTCAGCCACTGAGATTAAGTGACGGGGCAATTCTGAACCTGGTGGCTATGTTGTTATTTTCCAATTCAACCTGCTAATGCAACCGGCTTTTCTGAAGCTATGCGGTAACACTGACTACAAAGTCCATTTTAGTATAATCTTGAATGGGCCTAGTACATCACAGAATAAGACGTAAATCTTATACTAAAGTATGCGAGGGGTAAATCGTCTAAATTATGCAAAAATTAAAATAACACTGACATCTGATTTTAACAGATATATTTACCAAAATTATACAAAAAAAAACTTGAAATAGGAAAAAGGAAATTACCTCAATAAAATCGCCATTGGCTTCAACCACGGCTTCCAGACGACTTCGGAATCACCTGCACCTCTTCTCCTTCTTGATGAATGCTGCCGTAATCCATGCCTTCAGTTCATCTTTGGTGTTACAAGGAGCTTTGTTGGTCTCTTTCGCAACTACGCCCCACACATAATCATAATCAGAGGGCTGCAATCTGGAGAGATAGGTGGCAATATGTAAGGGGGGATGAGGTCGCAAAAATTGTTTGACAACCATGACTAGGTTCTCCTGCTTGTGTGGCATGATGCAGAGTCCTGTTGCCAGATATAGGTTCTTTCAGTAGCCACCCTCTTGATCCAGGGCAGAACTACCTCCTCAAGGTTCTTGATGTAGCCCTTCGTGTTGAGTTTGAGGCCCTCACCAACAAATTCGAGAGTTCTTATCAGAACGATTAGAATGAGTTTTCCGCGCTGTTTTACCTTCGTAATCACCAATACATTTATCTAACTCTTTCCAAATCCTCTGCACTGTCTTCAGGTTGACACCCAAGCACTCTGAAATGTTTGTATTGGAGCTTCCGGTACGAATGCCAAACAGTACAACATGCCGTTTCCAAATTTCTAGTTGAGTGAATTGCGTCATAGTGCTCTCTCTCTTTCCTAAACGGTACCCAACTAACCGTATTATACTGTGCAGTCGACAAAATCGAAAGCAAACAACGCGCATAGCGCGAAGTTAAAAATATAAAATGGCGACAATTCATCCATCGCAAGCTGCATACATTGATTGTTGATCAGACACTATCCTCAGTATTAAATCTTTTGAAGCCATCTTTTTTTTTTATTATTATTTTTGGATAATGTTCGTTAATTATTATGTATAGAATGTAAGGCTTTTTTGCATAATCATCAATTTTCTCTCGAGTTTTCTCTTGTCCAGTTTAGGAAGTGCCCTGAATATCTTACAATAGATTATTCTGAATAATCAAAGGCGCCAAATTAAACTGTCAACTTAATTAGAATTAAATAGAGAGCTGTTGATTAATGTCTGAAGGTTATTAGTCGGCGGTGACATCATAAACATAACATTTTCGAACCGTCAATCATGCTACCAAATGGAGTATTATGAAGTCGTATCCAGTTGAAGGGAGTAGGATTAGGGTCTGACCAGCCCTGATTAGGTCCACCAGGGAAGGACGTCTGATGTTGAAAACAGCCGATGATCTCTGTCATCAATAATGATACTCTCCTCCACCCCCAGTGCATGATGGGAATGCGTATTTTTTCAAATTATTACCCTTGTTTATAGTTTCGATAAGGTTTCTCTTGTGAGTCTCTTCTTCAAAAATTTCCTTATTCTCCGATTTATTCTTCTCTTGCTTTCTCTTTCATTTCATTTTTTTTTTAATTGAATGCGCCTTCAATATTCAAAAATGTAATATTTTTCTCACTTCAACTCTCAGGGAGTTGAATTCTTTCCGTTTCTTTTTGTTCTCTTTTGTAACATGACACATTTCTCGTTCTCGAATTCTACTTAATTGCATAAATGTTTTCCATTCGTCTTTGTGCTGAGCAAATATATTCAAACTGAGATTTTTTTCTTGTCACTTCATAAACCAAACGCGTATTCCACAGTTTCGCAAGCTGGAATTTAAATGTACTGTTGTGATTATGATGGGGTGTATTGTGACAAAATGAAGCCCGGTCAATATAAGAACACCCATAAAGTGGACGGTAAAGTATTATACATGGGCCTGAAATCTCTGGTGTTTCATAACCAACAATAAATTCTAAATATGAGAACTTCAAAGCAGAGGTAAAATAGAGTAAATAAATAAATAGGTGAAAAATTTTGGGATCAAGTACCACTTGGTCAGAAGGAGGGAAATTCCGGTCGTAGTCCTTTATAGTCAGGGCACATTCTAACAGAATCGGCCAGAAAGAAACTGGTTGTTAGCGAGTAGGGTGCCGTCCGTCGGGATGTAGAAATGAGCAAAGGTGGGGTAGCTAGGAGAAAGTCGGTAGTTAAAGTAATGGGAAAGAGACAGAGTCGGATGAAGATGGAATTCCCGCGAGACGAAGTAAGGATTTGGTCCATTAGTCTGTCGTGAGAAAAGGCAGAAGTACCAACAAAGATGTTCTAAGAGTCACTTACCTATCCCCAGGCCGTGCCAGGTGACACCGTGAATAAAAGAAAACAATATATTGGAAAGAGAATTTGTGTTTTCTTTTCTCGCCGTGCCATTAGTTCAGCTTCCGTTTACTTGTTGAACCTACACCGGGCCTTTTTCACTTTTTTTACACCGACGCAGTGAAAATTGAAACTGGTCGTAAGATAAATCTGTCTAGTCGAGATGTGTGTATACGGTGTTGATAGCTATATACGCAGAAAAATGAATCAGCGAGACAAATTCAAATTCCGGTCTAGCCTGTTGCATTCAATTTCGCACAAATTCTCTTGGGAAAGATATAATGCAATTTTCTCCATCCAACTATGGGTTAAACAGCAGGGTAAACTGAGCTCCCTCGCCTTGGTGTGGTAGTCATTCTAAGAGGTGGAAAGCACTGAATTTCAAACCGTGGATAAAGCAACGAGAACTGGCTTGATTATTTTTGCCAATAAGGCATGACAATTCAGAGATAATAAAGAAAAGGAATCTGTGGAGAGCCATGATCATCTTTGATTTGAAAGGTCGTGGCAAAATTTCTTCCTGCATTGAGTTGTACATTCTACTTACTATCATTTTTTTCCTCTGAATTTCCTCCACTGTCGTAATTGGTAGGTTAAACTGGAAATTGACAGCAAATAAACCAGCACGCCCCCCGTCACACACACACACACCCTCGGATTTCCAGTTTCTCTAGCTCATGAATTCTGGGGGAACGCGAGTCAGTGGGTATGCAATCAAGTCTCTTGTATTCTTCTCTTTTCACAATCTTTTATGACTTTTATGTTTTTGGGGTGTTTTTTTTTTATCATTTCATCCCAAGCAAGGCAATAAAGTCACTAAAATGCAAGGAGTTACTGAGTGTGAAATAATATGAGAAAACGAAGACATTATAGAGAGAGACCCATAAAAGAATAGAAATTAAAAATACGGAAGATAGTGACTGTCATTTCATTTTAACTTTTTAAGATCAAAGTTGACAGGTATACAAGAAGCCAGAAGAGAGTTCTGTAAGCGAGAACTGCGAGAGAAGAAACTGTTAGCATAGAACTTACGGTTCCATCCTTTACATGTTTACCAAACATCTGTCCTTTAACCCGACAGAAACAATCGATTTGATTTTTGTTTTTCGTCCTGGTTCACCAAAACCCAACCACACACACCCTTACACACGTTTATTCTTCAACGCCCACTGCATTTGGACTTGAGTTTTATAATACGGTACGCTTTCTCAAATATTAAGCCAACAAGGATCGGACAGGAAAAGCTTTCAGAATCCCAGCTCGTGCTCTTTTCGCTAATTTTTTCTGGGTTCGTTCCCAGTGCTTCAACAGCAATTGGCACAACTGCCACATTTATCTTTCACAATTTTATCGGTTCTCTAAAGTGGTCTAGATATTTTTCACAGCAAAATTCTTTATTATTATAATTATTATTATTAAACCATTGCTATGATGATGATAATGATTATTTCCGCCATTTAGTAATGCTGATGATTATGTCTAAATAGTATTCTCATTATTATGCTCATCTTAAACGTCAACATTCTTATTCATAGTTACTCAATTAGTGTGTGATCATTCCAAGCGTACTGACCTGCATTAGTGTTCGAACCGCTTTTGTTCTTGCTCGCCCGTCCAAAGGAGTGGAAAGCACAGACCACTTCACACATCGTGCTTCTTTTGAACAATAAGAACAAGCAAAACATTGTCCGGCATCATCTTGCTATATAATACCGCTCACTTCCTTCAGATCCTATTTTCATTGCTTCTTCTTCTTTGTCGATCTTCTTTTCTTACATTTCATTTCTTTTCTTTTTCTTCTTTACGAAGGATTCTGGTTTTCTTTCATTTTGTCTTTCTTATTCACCGTCTTCATTTTTACTCTTTTTCTTCTTTTCGAGTAGTTCTAGCTTCTTTTCATATTTTCTTCATTTTTGTTTCTTTTTTTGCTTTCGAATGCTTCTAGCTTTCTTTCATGTTTTCTTTCTTTACTTTCTTTCATTTTCCTTTCTTTTTCTTCTTTTCAAATGGTTCTGACTTTTTTTCATATTTTCTTTATTATTCACCTTGATTTCTTTTTCCGTTCTTTTTTCTTCTTTTCGAATGGTTCTGGCTTTCTTTTATTTTGCCATTGTTCTTCACCTTCTTCATATTCCATTTCTTCTTTTCGAATGATTCTGGCGTTCTTTCATATTTTCTTTCTTCTTCACCTTTCTTCATTTTTCCTTTTATTAAAACATCTATAATTCTTATTATCATATATCTTTATCTTTCCTATTTGTTCCTGGATTTTAGTAGTATGCTCTATTTCTGCCATTTTTATAAATCTTCCTTTATTTTTCTTTCTTACTCTTCCTTTACTTCTTTTTCTTTAAATTTACCCCCTCCTTTTCTTTCAATTATCGTATTTCTTCCTCTTCAATTAATTCTTTATATTTCTCATAGCTTGCTTTACCTTTTTTCTCACTCTTTATTTATTTCATAGTTTACTTTTCTCTTTTCTTTTCCATGTCTGCATCTCTACGAAATTCTTATTTTTCTTTTTCTTTCTTTTTTCTTGCTCTATTTTTTCTTAAAGCTTTTATTGTTTTTTTCGAATCTCCTTTTTTATCTGTAGCTTCATTTTCTATCCATTTTCATGGCCTCTTTCTCTTTTTCTTCTCCTTTTCTTCTCCTTTTCTTCTTCTTTTCTTCTCCTTTTCTTCTCCGTTTCTTCTCCTTTTCTTCTTCTTTTCTTTTCCTTTTCTTCTTCTTTTCTTTTCCTTTTCCTTTTCTTCTCCTTTTCTTCTTCTTTTCTTCTCCTTTTCTTCTTCTTTTCTTCTCCTTTTCCTTTTTCTTCTCTTTTTCTTCTTCTTTTCTTCTCCTTTTCTTCTCCGTTTCTTCTCCTTTTCTTCTTCTTTTCTTTTCCTTTTCTTCTTCTTTTCTTCTCCTTTTCTTCTCCTTTTCTTTTCCTTTTCTTCTTCTTTTCTTCTCCTTTTCTTCTCCTTTTCTTTTCCTTTTCTTCTACTTTTCTTTTTCTTTTCTTCTCCTTTTCTTCTCCTTTTCTTCTTTTCTTCTCCTTTTCTTCTTCTTCTTCTTTTCTTCTCCGTTTCTTCTCCTTTTCTTTTTCTTTTCTTTTTTTTTCTTCTTTTCTTCTCCTTTCTTCTCCTTTTCTTCTTCTTTTCTTCTCCTTTTCTTCTTCTTTTCTTCTCCGTTTCTTCTCCTTTTCTTTTTCTTTTCCTTTCCTTTTCTTCTTCTTTTCTTCTTCTTTTCTTCTCCGTTTCTTCTCCTTTTCTTTTTCTTTTCTTTTTCTTTTCTTCTTCTTTTCTTCTCCTTTTCTTCTCCTTTTCTTCTTCTTTTCTTCTCCTTTTCTTCTTCTTTTCTTCTCCGTTTCTTCTCCTTTTCTTTTTCTTTTCCTTTCCTTTTCTTCTTCTTTTCTTCTTCTTTTCTTCTCCTTTTCTACTCTACGCTTTATTCCATTTCACCTCCCTTGAATGTATATCTTTCTATTTCATATTTCTCCTTTTTTTCTATGATTTCAATCTTTCTTTTCCTTGCTTTTTGTCTTCTCTCCCTCTCTCTCTTTCTCTCAATGACCTGTTGACATGATGCATCCATTTGTGGCTTACCTTACGCGTCAGTTGAGACATTACGGTATACACAACGTCTTTGTTCTTTCTTGAACACATTTACATGGCTTTAACAACCTTTGTAACTAGATCTCATCTTATGTGCACTCAATATGCAACCAGCATCATCAACAACCGACGACATAAGCAACTCTACGCAAAACGCTAACATTCTAACTATCCTTTACTCAGAAATTACAAGGAAGAAAGAACAAAGAACTTATCTTTAATATGAAAACATCATTATCTGTACAATTACAAACATGATCATAAGTCAATAACTATCACAAATAAATATTCTACGTCGAAATTGCCTTAGCCATTACCATTATAGTTCAACAATTTCGGATGTAATACCGTTTAAATAATAATTCTAAATATAAAAAATATTTAAATATGTTCCTAAACTGTTCTCTCTAAACGGTAGAATAAATACTTTGCTGCTTCTTGATTTTCTGCTTGTTGGAAATATCCTTATGTAGTTGCTGTCTTTAAAAACTCAGGCGAATCATCTGATCCTCCTAACTATACTATCGACCTGTTAGTCTTCTGCTTTATTTTTGGCAAAGTACTAGACGCTCTAATCAACTCTGAATTGGTTAAGTATCTCACATCGCACAGCCTACTTTCAGATAAGCGATTTGGTTTTCGCTTTTCTATGTCAATTACTGTTGTGCTAACGGTTATTGCTGAAAGAGTCTATCTGGCTTTAGATAAGAATGGTGAAGTTATTACACTTTTTGAAAATGTATTTAACTCCGATCTGCTTCTTTCTTGTGGGCTGTTAAACAAAAATGCTAAAAGCCCGCATCTGATATCATCAATGCTATAGAACGGTTGGTTGAAGTGTGGTGCGACAGGAAAATTGTTATTGCTGTCTTTGATGTGTTTTTATGGTTATTGAACCGAAGACGGAATTCTGTGCCTGTTTTCCTTTTTTGCATTTGTGATAGAAAAGTAAATATATAATATTTGAACTGTCACAAGACAGGGACGGTTGTCTGGATATTGTGTGAGTCCCGGAGTATGTAAAATGCTATCAGTAAACCCTGGTGCTAACTCTGTAAATCTATCATCACTGATCAAGATAGAATCACCTATTAAAGGATTAAACAGAGATTTGGGTTTGTACAGAAAATATAGTTTCCATTAGGGACCAACAACAACATTCCCCGGGTGAGTGAGTTCCACTTACTTGTTTATTTTTAGTCTCGTTGAAAAAAGACACGGGCTTGTCTGAAAATTGCGACTTTAAATTCTCTCTTTGTGCTTGAAATTAGTGAAAAGGCTTACTTATATATTAATATTGTCATCATTTTGTTGTCTTTTTGTACGTCAAATTTCATTGACAGACGTATTAAATCTACATATTATAAGAAGCACACGTGGACCAACAGTCATTTTAATTATATATATATATATATATATATATATATATATATATATATATATATATATATATATATATAATAAAAAAAAGGCTTAAACACTAGTACTCCATGGTCATAGTTTATTACATTGGAATCGTAAATACGATCCAATTCATCAGACCTACACATTCAAAAAGAAATCAGAAAAAACAACTCCGAATGCAAGAGTAAATGAAAGCTAGCTTTGATTTACTCTCACATTCGTCCCACACTCTCATACATACACTCTCACTAAATTTTATTTTTTATCCTCGGATTATGTATGTGTATGTATGTATGTATATTTATATATTTATATATATATATATATATATATATATATATATATATATATATATATATATATATATATATATATATATATATATATTAACCACTAATATTATCTATCTATCAATCTGTATATATATATATATATATATATATATATATATATATTCACACAATCATTCAATTACCTAACACTGTTCTGGTATACAGACCTTTATATATGGAAAAATGTATATAACATATCAAATTTCTAGTAGATAGATAGATACGAACATAGATAGATAGATAGATAGATAGATAGATAGATAGATAGATAGATAGATAGATAGATGTGGTAGAACATTACTTTGACTTCAAACATACAATCCGTCTGGAAGTTATTATGCAAATCACATAAACTTCAAAAACTCGAATTTAACACGTTGCTTGATTGTTCATCTTTCCATGGTTGAAATTGCCAAAGACTTAAGTTGTTCAATCTAAAAGAAAAAGAAAAACAATTATTAGATGATTAAATTTAACTCACATTTAAAATCGGTCCAAGTTACTGGAACGCCCCATATAACCATTAAAAATGGATAAACATTTAGATATTTTACCAGTGGTGGGATATCTACCAACCCCAGGCGGTCAGATGTGGCACAAGGCTGAATTTAATGTAGGGTATCCGTAGGCTCGGGCAAAAATTCCCCGTAGACCCTGCATAAAACGAGGTCAAGTAGCTGTTTCCCGAGACGAAATTCTGCCTTACGACACAGCCTAATCTAAGGATCCTCTCTGCCCGGAAGCAGAGAGTTTGACCAGCACACTTGAAGATGAATCTTCAAGTGGTAGATTTTTACCAATGGTGAAAAATGGACTAGTTTAAATTTGACAAATGTTGGTTCCGGATTTTTTGAGTTATTGAAGTTTATGTGATTTACATAATATCAGCTGGGCAGCAATGTTCATCATGCATTTAAATTATGAACTGATGGTCGTTATCGATGTCATAAAGTTAATTAATATTAGCTTTGCGACCTGTTGGTGACTGAAAAGGTTTCAGGAAATTTTACAAATTGATAGTAAGCTATATTGATTAACAACCAAGCCGAAGAATCCGACTCGCTAAGAATGATACTTGATAACTACGCAATCAATCGATATCCTAAAAGAAGAAATCAACACTGATGAATAATTTGCTTATATTGCTGAGGTAAAATAAAATCGTTCCATCAGGTTAGAGAGAATGGTGAAGGAAATTAAAGAACAGATAAAAATTAGCGAATGGTGTTGAATTAACTAAAAATAGTTATGGCGATGCAGGTCATAATGGTGTATAGGGCATTTCTCTTTTAAAAGGCTAAAGCACTAGGCTGGTGTCTTTTATTCGAAGGGGAAAAACATATATTTGTGATACAATGGGACATGATCATCATACCCAGATAATCAAGAGCAATCTAAAATGATTTCATTATACCTGAAGCGCCGGTAGTTTTATCCCAGTGTAGACAGTGTTGTATCGTCGAGGTGAATGATACACAGAGAAGAATGAGTGTTTAATATATTTATTCAGCACCAGTATCCGGTGCTAATGGATACATACAAAAAACACAGAACAATAAGTTACAAAACAATTAACAAGACAACTTACAAGGAACAGAGGAGGGCCAAATGCTTTATAGCCAAACGAAGTAAGATCAGTCCGAATATTAATCAGCTTAGTTTCAAATTATTAATCAACTATTGAAGTCCTTAATCGTAAACTATTTAAGGCTATGAGCAAGGTCTTCTGGTAGAGTGCTGAAGGGGTGCTACGTTAATCTACAACAGACAGTAAAATCTAGAAATATGATCGTCAAAGCAACTATCCGCTGTCCACAAGTAGAGTAAAAGGAAAATAAGTAAGCACGTATGGGGTCAAGTGTCATTTGGCCGGAAGATAGGTAATGCCTTTCG